CATAGATTGAAAAAACGAACCTCTCCAGGCTTCTTTGTCAACAGCCATTGGTAAATTTCCATCTCCACCATCTTGTCATCTAAAGCAGATGCAGCCCGTGATGACATACCAGTCGCCGATAGAGCTAGCTTGCCATGCATGATCAAGTGCTCAGCGTGCTGGCGAATCTTTCGCGCTCGACTGGTACCTGTAGTGAACTTGGGCAATTTTGAGGGTGGTAAACGTCGGCAGGAAGACTGAGCAGTGATATACGAAGCAGAAACTGCGGGCGATTTTGTCCGACTAAGGGTAAGCTCAAGCCTTCGGGTGTTGAATTCACGAAGCTCATCAAGGATAAGGGATGGATAGCTAGACTTTGGGTTAGCCAAGCGTTTTTTGCTGTACATATCCGCGGCGGATTTCAGCGCCAGATTGAGCTGGTCGAACTGCTCATAAGCTTTCTCTTCCCAGTTCAAACGGGTGTCCGCCTTGACACGGTTTGACCGATAGTTCTCAACACGTTCATCGATCCAGGCATCAAGGTCTTGAGAAGGCAAATTGTCCAAGCCTGAGGCTGCTTTGGCGGTTGAACTGATGTCTACAGAAGGTTGATCTTCAAACCTTGACACAATTTGTGAGTCGAGTTCTTCAGAATCCGAGCCAGCCAGGTTGTCATCTGAATCAGTTTGATAGGTGGGAGCTGCTACATCACTTGTTGCAAGATTTGGGGTCGGTATTGGCGGAGGAGATTTCTGAGTACTAGAGATCCAATTAGACAACATGTTAATGTTGCCTCCAAGGGCCTTCTTTTGCTTTATAAACCGGTTATGCTTTGTCTGCTTAGGAACAGGTGCTGGGAGAAGTTTTTGACGTTTTGAACTTGGGTCTTTGACTGGTTTCCGATAACCCTTCGTGATCTGGCCGCTAGAATTCTTGCGCTTATAATTTTGAATGGTTGGGTACGCAATTTTTGAAGTGAAAATTGGCCATGGCCTTGAAACTACTGTCATGTCACATTCTGCCTCATCATCCGAGTCCAAGATGTTCTCAATGACTTGTCTGATGATCTTGTTTGATTCTTGGATGTTGTCTTGACCAGTATTAATGAAATTATTAGTTGAATTGATATCATCGTCATCTAATTTGGTGAGGTCTATGAAGTGACTGATTGCCTTGTCAGAGATAGATTGTTCAGGGGTTCTGGTAGGTGATGCCGGATCATTCAAAGAGTTGAGTGCCTGATGTGGACTGAGCTTCTTTTCCTGTTCTCTTTTTCTACGTTCACGTTGACTTTGTTTCCTTAGTGATACTACCATTTTTAAGAAGATAAATAAGATCTTTTAAACAATATGAAACAATTTTTTAAGAAATCTAGGTAGTAAAAAAAACCCAAGGCGTGATTCAATGATCACGGAATTTTGCTTGGAAATGGGACCGGGGCCAGCCTCGGGTACTCCGGGGCCACAGTCTTACAGGCTTTCAGTGGCAGGCACTGTATGTATTCGGGATACAAACTAGAAACCCGGATT